ACCCAAACCTAGATTCTACCGTTAACATTTAACTGTATTTGCTTTATCACATAAATGTTTCACTGCTCCACCCTTTTTTATGCATTACAAAGTAAGTTCCTGATATTAGTTTACTTCACTCTAAATATTTGAGCTTTCGTATGTTATTAACTAGAATACCCTGAAGGGTCCTAAGAGGCAGAAGTGGCATGAGGAAATTGTTTCAGGAAGATCACTCAAGCAGCAGGATGGGGAATGGATTGGAGTGTGCTAAGAATTTAGTGAATGTTCACTTTTGAGTAGCATGTTTATATAGTGAGAAGACAACCAGGCAGAGGCCAGGGGTTAAATGCTTAAAGCTCTAAAAAGGGAGAAAAAGAAAAAAACGCTAACAAATAATGTGATTAGAAGATGTGTATAACAGTAGCACAAGACTACATCTTTGTAATATCAACAGCATTTTCACAGAACTAGAACATCGGTCCTAAAATTTATATGGAACCACAAAAGACCTCAAATAGCCAAAGTGGTCATGAAAAAGAAAACCAAAACTGGAGGTGCCACAGTTCCAGACTTCAACTTCTATTACAAGGCTGTAGTAATCAAAACAATATGATACTGGCACCAAAATAGACACATAGCTCAATGGAATAGAATAGAAAACCCAGAGATAAGCCCACAATTATCTGGTCAATCTTCAAGAAAGGAGGAAAAAATATACAAGGGGAAAATGACAGTCTCTTCAACAACTGGTATTGGGAAAACCGGACAGCTATCTGCAAACTGGACCACCTTCTTACACCATATGCAAAGTGGATTAGAGCCCTAAATGTGAGACCTGAAACCATAAAATTCCTAGAAGAGAGCACAGGCAGTAATTTCTTTAACAGCGTCTGTAGCAGCATTTTTCTAGATATGTCTCCTGAGACAAGGAAAGTAAAAGCAAAAATAAATGTCAAAATAAAAAGCTTCTACACAGTGAAGGATATCATCAAAACTAAAAGGCAGTCTATCAAATGGGAGAAGATCTTTGCAAATGAAATATCTGGTATTAGGGGACATCCAAGTATTGATGACCAGTTAGCAGTTCAGGAGAGGCTAAGGCTGGAAAGAAATCCATGGGTCACCAGATTATAGGGAGTATTGAAGTTGTCTTCAGAGCTTCTCCTGGAATTACATTCAGAAGGAGAAGAGTAGAAGGCTGAGGAAGGAACCCTGGATTGTACAAACGTTGGGTAGGGATGGAAGAGCAGCCTGCAAGGAAGACTCAGGACCAGCCACCTCAGAGGTTGAGTGGTAGAGTAGGAGAGGGCAATGTTCCTGAAGCAGTGACGAGAGAGAGCCTTCTCTGACTTCTGTGTCTTCCTCCTCCTCTCTCTGCCAGCTCCCAACCAAGTCTGCCTTGAGTACAGCTGTCCCCACCGCTATTACCCTTAGTTCAGGCCTCCCTCATTTCTTGCTAGGACTCCAGTAATACCGAGTTACCTAGTCTCCTAAACTCCTAAACTTACCAGTCTTCCATACTGTCGCCATAGAGGTCTTCCTAAAATACTTAACTACTGCCAGTGGCTCCCTGTTATCTTCAGGATAAAGTGTGACCTTCTCAGCCTGGCATAAGATGCCCTTCATGATCTGGCATTCTGTACTTGTTCTCACTTTCTGGCTTCTGTTCCCCTCACATCCTAACATTCTTCAAATTATCTGTCCTTTGTAGAAGGACAAACACTTTGCCTCCAGGCCTCTGTATATGCTTTCCTTACTTCCTGGGATGATTAGCTGTCCATGGCTCATTAATACTACAAGACTTGGCTATAGTGTTACCTGCCACCTCTACAAAGTCCTTTCTGACTTCCAGGCAAGACGAGGATATTCCCTTAGGGCTGGCCCCCTGGTTGTTGTGTATCTTCAGTATAGACCTAATGACAGTATCTTGAAATCATCTATTTGTTTTCCCTCTCCAGTTTGTCAGCCTCCTAGAGGACAGTGACTTTGACATAAGGATCTTTGTACTCCTGGTGCTTAATGTAGTAAATGTCTAATGGAGTGGTTCCTCAGAGTGTGGTCCCCACACTAGCAGCATCAGCAGCACTGGTTGCTCGTTAGAAATGCAGATTGTTGGACCCCACCCCAAACTTACTGAATCAGAAACCCAGGAGGGGAAGCCCAGCAATGTGTGTTTAATAAGCCCCCCGGTGAGTCTGGTACATTTTTGAGAACGATTAGTCCAGTGAAATGAATTGATAAAATTCAAATTAGCAATCAATATAACAAATTTTCTGCAGAAATTAAATGCCAGTGTTGGGTTTAATAGTAGAAGTATTTATATATTCTCTTTTTTACTGGTTAACTTTATTATTTCCATTTAAGCATGATGGATCATCATGGGTATAATCATTGGCATTATCATAGATATTACTATTTTCAATCCGGTCTGTTATTTTGACGGACCATTTTAATAGTACTGCAAAAATAGTGCTGAAAAAGAAGTACTCATTTAATGACAAGTTCTTCATTGCCTTTTTAAAATTTTTTTTTTTCAACATTTATTTATTTTTGGGACAGAGAGAGACAGAGCATGAACGGGGGAGGGGCAGAGAGAGAGGGAGACACAGAATCGGAAACAGGCTCCAGGCTCTGAGCCATCAGCCCAGAGCCTGACGTGGGGCTCGAACTCCCGGACCGCGAGATCGTGACCTGGCTGAAGTCGGACGCTTAACCGACTGCGCCACCCAGGTGCCCCTTTCATTGCCTTTTCAAGGTGACAGTTTTTGCTATGAAGTGTTGGAAAATAGTTCATAAAAAGAACCAGTCTTGCCAGTTCAGTTGAATATAGTATTATCTACTCTAGGATACTTTAAGTTTGACAGGTCTGTGTGTCTTGTCTCTGTTCTGTCTGCATTACTTGGCCTCAGCTTGTCACCAGTAGGATTATAAACACCTATGCAGAAGTGACTACTGCAGTCTGTGGCAACACTTAGATATAAAGATGGTCATTCAGAAGGTCCAAGACTTATATAGTTTTTTTAAGTTTAACATGAAAACAATTTTTAAATTTTCAAAGAACTCATGAATGTTCTCCAGGAATAAGTCCTTAGATCTAAGAAACTCACATTTGTGAGTACTAGTAACATGATACTGCTAATAACGAGACAAGTTCACGGGGCACCTGGGTGGCTCTGTCGGTTAAGCGTCCAACTTTGGCTCGGGTCATTATTTTGCTGTCCATGAGTTTGAGCCCCGCGTCGGGCTCTGTGCTGACAGCTGAGCCTGGAGCCTGCTTTGGATTCTGTGTCTCCTTCTCTCTCCCTGCCCCTCTCCAGCTCACACTCTGTTTCTCTCTCCGTCTCTCAAAAGTAAACGTTAAAAAAATTAAAAAAAAATAACTAAGTCCATGAGATGGTAATATGTAGTATTTAAATAGATTTATGATATTAAAAAATCTTCACCAAAACATCAAATAGTAACCAGCCTAGTTTTAAAGTCTTTAAACTTTTGTCAAGTTTAAGTCACATAATTTCTTGCTACTAATATTTCTATTAAGTCCTTTATTTTTTTATTTTTTTAAATGTTAATTTATTTTGAGAGAGAGTGAGAGAGGGCGTGCAAGCGGGGGAGGGGCAAAGAGAGAATCCCAAGCAGGCTCTGTGCTGTCAGTGCAGAACCCAACATGGGACTCAATCCCACGAACCATGAGATCATCATGTACCTGAGCTGAAATTGAGTCAGATGCTTAATCCGCTGAGCCACCCAGGCACCCTTTAGTTGTTTGTTTTAATTCCACTATCATTAACATAACAATGTTATTTTAGTTTCGTGTGTACCATATACTGATTCAGCAGTTTTATACATTACTCAGTGCTTGTTACGATGCATGTACTCTTACTTCCATCACCTATTTCACCCATCCCCCACCTCCTCCCTTCTGGTAACCATCAGAACCATTTGTTCTCTGTGGTTAAGAGTCTGTTTTTTGGTTTGTCTCTCTGGTTTTTTTCTTTGCTCGTTTGTTTTCTTTCTTAAATTCCACGTGTGAATGAAATCATACAGTATTTGTCTATGACTTTTTTCACTTAGCATTATACTCCAGCCTCCATCCATGTTGTTGCAAATGGCAAGATTTCATTCCTTTTTATGGCTGAATTATATACATACACACCACATCTTTATCCATTCATCTATCGATGGTCACTTGAGCCACCTCCATAATTTGGCTATTGTAAATAATGCTGCAATAAACCTAAGGGTGCATGTATCCCTTTGAATTAGTGTTTTTGTATTTTGGGGTAAATACCCCATAGTGTGATTATTGGACGGTAGGGTAGTTCCATCTTAAGCTTTTGAGGAACCTCCATATTGTTTTCTACAATGGCTGTACCAGTTTGCATTCCCACCCACAGTGCATGAGGGTTACTTTTTTTCTACATCCTTACCAATACTTGCTGTTTCTTGTGTTTTTGCTATTAATATTTTTTCAGTCTACATTTTATTTTTGTCTGTTCTACGTTCCCTGTACCCTTATTCAGTTTACTACCTCTACCCCTCCCTTATTAATATTTCTTACGACTTCATGGTTTTGGTGAGGCTATAGCCACAATTCCCCGCCTGGTCAATTTTGATGCATCTTCCATCCTCCATGAGTGGGCCATGGGTGGGCACATGACCCAAACTGGGCCAGTTAAGAGTCTTTACCTGAGATTCTTCAGACTGAAAGCCAATGGAGAGAGTCTTTTGTTCCTTTTAGATTAAACTGGGATGACATAAAAGTTCAACTTCATGAAAAATACCCACAGAGGAAACCATTTGTAATAGGATAGAACTAGACTTAAAAGGAAGGGCAGAGACACCAGGACAAAGAATCCAGGAGGGGAAGTCAGCATCTTCAACTTTATGGTTACCTAGATATCTTTCATCAAATTACCCTTTTGGTTGAAGCTAGTGCCAGTTGGGTTTTTCACTTGACACTAAAAAGCATCCTTAAATAATCCGTATTATAATTAAAAAGGATTGTCCTTTTTTTACAGGTGAAGATGGAGCTGGAAAAACAAGCTTAATAAGAAAAATTCAGGGAATAGAAGAGTATAAGAAAGGAAGAGGATTGGAATATTTGTACTTCAATGTTCATGATGAAGACCGAGACGGTGAGTGTCATTTGTATGTAAACCAAGTTTCCTGAGGCCTTTCTGAGGTTGCACTGCCTGCTCATTTTAGTCTTTGACTTTTCTTAATGTGTCCTCTTTTACTAGGAGTCCTGCTGTGTCATGACACTTATGTGTGGACATAACTTTTATTGGCTTGGGATTGGAATTCTTTTAGTGGTATTTTTTTAACATCTTAAGATATTCTGGGGGCGCCTGGGTGGCGCAGTCGGTTAAGCGTCCGACTTCAGCCAGGTCACGATCTCGCGGTCCGTGAGTTCGAGCCCCGCGTCGGGCTCTGGGCTGATGGCTCGTAGCCTGGAGCCTGTTTCCGATTCTGTGTCTCCCTCTCTCTCTGCCCCTCCCCCGTTCATGCTCTGTCTCTCTCTGTCCCAAAAATAAATAAAAAACGTTGAAAAAAAAAATTTAAAATAAAAAAAAAAAAGATATTCTGGTGTTCAGACTGTAGCTTCCTTGCCATCCTTCAAGAATCTCAATTTTTCAGTTCGTTTTCCCTCATATAGTGAAATAATAGTATCCTATGGTTGTTTTGCCAATCCCTTTTCACCTTCTCATTTTTGACACAAAAAATGTCATCTGCCTCCCAGCTTTTTTCAATCTGATCAGTTGTTCTTTTCTTGTATACATCACATGCCATCTCATTTTTGTGTATGACATCTTGTATGTGCATGGCTCTCTATGCTGATGGTAAGAATAGAAACATGTTATTCAGCCTGTGATTTGGGACTGAGAAACAAGAAGTAGAGGCTGCTGGTGTTTTGTGTTGGCAGTTAGATTATTTTCCTGAAAATTTGTTAGGCCTTTATTAAATTGATAGATGTGATCTAAGGAGTTGAACCTTGTCAAAGGAGCCATCCTTTGTGGAGATGCCCTAGAATACCAAGTAGTATTGTTAGTTGGATAATGACATAACTTAATCCAGTTGCCCTGGTAACTTTTTTTGTTTCTTATAGATCAAACAAGATGTAATGTATGGATCTTAGATGGAGACCTGTATCACAAGGGCCTCCTGAAATTTTCACTGGATGCCATTTCTCTGAAGGACACTCTAGTTATGCTGGTTGTTGATATGTCAAAGCCTTGGACTGCTTTGGATTCTTTACAGAAATGGGCAAGTGTTATTAGAGAACATATTGACAAGTTGAAAATTCCTCCTGAAGAAATGAAAGAAATGGAACAAAAGTGTGAGTAGTCTAGAAATACGAATATAGATTTCAAACACCTGATATCCTAGCTATTGTAATTGTTAGCAATTTTTGACTTTGAGTAAGATTCAATGAAGGAAACATAATGTGACTACTGTTTTTGAAATTTAATTTGATGTGCTAGGTTTTAATGTAGTTTTAAATTGGAAACCTGTACTATATATAATGGCAGACTCCTTAGTTAGAGGTGCCTTTTCTCCTTCGCCAAAGGGCCATAAATGTTCATTTGGGAAGTAGATTTTCAGGATTAAAAAGATTTGAATCTTTCATCAGCTATTTATTTTCAGCAGTTTCATTTCTTGGTAAATAAAGCACTCTTATCAACGTTGTCAACATGAAATGTGCCCCAAAAATGTTAACAACATAAATATAAAAATGTTAAACTGGTTTTATGATTTACAAAGTATATATTTTGTACATACCCATGTAAATTGGAAGTTTTCAGATAAATTATAACAAGGGTTATCTCTAACAAATTGTAAGTTAGTTGTCACAGTTCTTAATTTCATTGAGAGTTCTTCATTTGCCAATGCCTTTGCTTAAGAAAATATGCAGATGGAATCTGCTTTTCTTTGTTATTGTTGACTGATAATAATTTTTAGAAGAAGATTAACAGCTTACTGGAATTTATATGCAAGGAAATAGTAGAGACTTAGGAGAATCTGTGTCCTAAATTCCTGAAAAAGATGTCTAACTGCTTTTAATCTGTACCTCTCTTTCCCCGTGTGGCCATTGCCTATAGGTCTTTTTTTTTCCCCACTAAGTTTATACTATGGTGGTGGTTCTCAGTTTGTGGTCCCAGGACCAGCAGCATCAGTATCAGTACAGCTGGGAGTTTGTCAGAAATACACATTCTTGGGCCCCACCCCGGACTACTGAATCAGTTACTCTGGTATATGCTAAAAAAATCTAACACTGTTAGATTTCACCCTTTGATTTGACGGGTAATAGCTACCAGGTCTGCTAAGGTTGTATGCATGCCCCTGTGTTCTTGAAGGAACTGTACTCAACTATTCAAGGTTCCCTCTTCCTTGACCCCATGTAAGTTTAAGACCATTTTCTTCTTTATGATTCTGTATAGAATTCCCTCATATACATGGGGTGCTTGGGGGCTCAGTCGGTTGAGCATCAGACTCTTGATTTGGGCTCAGATCATGATCCCACGGTCATGGGATCGAGCCTCGCGTTGGGCTCTGCACAAGCATGGAGCCTGCTTGAGATTTTCTCTCTCTCCCTCTGCCCCTCTCCCCTGCTCGTGCTCTCTCTCTCTCTCTCTCTCTCTAAAAAATAAAAATTAAGAAAAATTTAAAAAGAATTCCCTCATATACAGTTTTAATCCTATGCTGTGAATCATTTGTTTCCAGATTTGTTATTTTGCTTTTAAACATGGAAAGCAGCCTTATATAGAAATCCTGTATCACTGATTATTTCCTTGAGAATTCCTTAAAGAGTAATCACTGAGTCAGAGTATACATTGTTAAGGTTCTTAATACATTTACATTGAATTTTTGTTAAGTGAAGGTTGTGACAGTCTTGCAAATGAGTTCTAAAAATTTATCAGCGCTGGTAATATCATTAATTTTTACCAGGGTTACAGAATGAATATGGCCCAAGATTGTACCTAGGTGAAAAGGAGAAGACCTGAGTAAAGAGCTTTAGAGAAAGGAAAGTAATATTAGAAAGTCATCTAGGGGCGCCTGGGTGGCTCAGTCAGTTAAGCATCTGACTTCGGCTCAGGTCATGATCACATGGTCCGTGGGTTCAAGCCCCGCGTCGGGCTCTGTGCTGACAGCTCAGAGCCTGGACCCTGCTTTGGATTCTGTCTCCCTCTCTGCCCCTCCCCTGCTTGCGCTCTGTCTTTGTCTCTCAATAATAAACAAACATTAAAAAAAATTTTTTTAATAAAAAAATAAAATAAAGTCATCTAGGTCTTTTAAATTGTGGAGCACCCCCCACACACATGCACACCCATTTTTTTATCCTTTCAGTGACCTTTGTGAATTAGAGAATATAGAGAGGCAAAGCTAGAGTGTGACTTGCCCAAAGTAATTTGCCCAGACAGAACCAGCTTACATTGAACCCTACTCTTTGGAGCCTACTCAGTTGTTGTACTCTGCCTCCTCATAATTAATGTGAGTCTGGTGTTTCTGTTCTGTCTTTGAAACAGATTTCTCAAACCCTTCTTGTTTCTTCTCTTACATAACACTAAATACAAACTCTCATAAAATACGTATTTAGATTATGGCAGAAAAAGCTACCTGCTGAAATAAAGCAATTTCTAAACCATGTATTAAATTATTTACTTTGATTTTCAGTGATTAGAGACTTCCAAGAATATGTAGAGCCGGGAGAAGATTTTCCAGCCTCTCCTCAGAGAAGAAATACCGGGTCACAGGAAGATAAAGACGACAGTGTGGTTTTACCTCTGGGTGCGGACACACTTACACATAACTTGGGCATCCCAGTACTAGTAGTTTGCACAAAGGTTAGCTTCCTTCCTAGAGATTCTACTACTGGTATTAACCGTGGATGAACAACCATTTTGTTTTCCAGCCTTCTTTCGGAGTTGGCACATTAGCTTTCCTAGATAATTTTTCTTAACAAATAGAAATAATAGTTTAAAATATGGAATGATAATCACATGTTGATTTTGTGATCTTAATCATAGTGCCTTTGAAAGAAAATGTTACTTCACATACTCTGCTTGTGATTGAATTTCATATTCTTAATTTCAATTAGACTTCGTTGTACAGTAAGTTGAGTAGAAATAATACAGGTAAGATGATAACTTCACTATTAATTTTTATAAAATATTTTTCCACATTAAATTGTGATACACTGATATCCTAATATCAGAAGATTATGTACTTAAAATCAACTTCAATGTCTACCACCACTCATTATGTAAAGTCGATATGCAGTTATCAAGAGTTTTTTATTTATTTACTAAAGAGGTTGTGATAGGATTGCTATTATCAAAATTCTGTTAACTAGTTCTGTCACTTTATATACTTCATAATAAATCAAAGAGGGGAATAGGGAAATGTACAGACTCCCTGGATATAAAGAGTGTTTTATGGAACTAGAATAGATTTTCGATCTTAAAAACTTCGTTTAGGTCATAAGTAGTTGAGTCAGCAAGTATGGCATCCATTTGTTTGTCCTGTGAGTCTTCATTCTCTATGTACTAAAACTTTCTCTTTGGTATTTTTGCCACATTCAATATAACATGGACATTAATACTTTTTAAAGAAATAAAATGATTCCTTAGTCTTATCTCCACCTGAAAGAATCTTAGGAGTAATTGATGTTCTGATATTTTGATGGTCACTATATCAGTGTGATAGTTTTGTGATATTCCCCCACCCAAAACTGAACTATCTAAATCATTATATTTAACTTTGATTATTTAAAGTTAATGCTGTTATTATTGGGGTTTTTTTCTTTTAATTATTTTCTCCACAGTGTGATGCCATTAGTGTATTGGAGAAAGAACATGACTACAGAGATGAACATTTTGATTTTATTCAGTCACATATCCGGAAGTTTTGTTTACAGTGTATCCTTTTACTACATTGATTGGTGCAGTGTACCTTTCCTGTTTGTTTGCTTATTTCAGTTAAGGGAATTAAATTGATGGACTTCAGAAATTCCATAAGCTTTTTACCTCCTGCTCTGGTTAGGAATTTCATTTTAGCTCCCAAATCATTTATATCTGGGTATTTTGAGCTATAAAAGCAAGTGTTGAAATCTATTAACTTTGGTTTGCTGTGTTTTAAAGTACTGTGCTTAAGAAAAATAACTATTAGTCTTTTGTGGAAAATTCTAATGAACTGGCATTGGAAACATTCTGATTACAAAGCAGGATTCATTTATCGGGAGTGGCGGTGGGGTAAGATCAATATTCATGTTTGTGTTCTCATTTTTAATATGTTCAATGTGTTACCATCTCCACACATAGTCTAAAGCAGTGGTTTCTAAATCTAGCTGTGCCAGCTAAGGCTTGCTTAATTGGGACATTTCAGGGTGAGGCTGAACAATCTGTACTTTTGAAAAGCTTTCTGGGAGATTTTGATAATCACAAGGTTAGGAAACCTGTAAGGAATCTTGTCTAGGTTGCAAGGATTAGAGGAGCCACTGAATAACAGACACCAGCAAAAGAAGGATAAAATGAGGGTTGTACATGAATGCTTTTAGGAGAATTTGCTGTTGAAACTGTGGTCACAGCTTGCGTGCACTGAGGAGAGCTGTAAGGTCACTTGACACTGGCACTTTCCCCTCAGTCCTTTGTCTCTCCGCGGCCCTTTCTTTTCTCCTGTCACATAATGGTTGACTTGGGTTGAATTAAAGGGCATTTGTTTACATAAAGAGTCTTTTAAAAACTTTGTTATTGAAGATTAGCAAATTTAAGAAGTCGTAGTCTCTTTAAACATTTATTTAATGCTGTTCTTGAAAATATACATGCAGGTATGTAATCAGGAAGGAGACTGTCCACTAAAATAATCACAGACCTTTAGTAGAGCCCATTGATTTTAAAAAAAAAAAGAGGCACTGGGTGGCTCAGTCAGTTGAGCATCGGACTTTGGCTCAGGTCATGATCTCATAGTTTCTGGGTTCAAGCCCTGCATTGGGCTCTGTGCTGACAGCTTAGAGCCTGGAGCCTGCTTCGGATGCTGTCTCTCTCTCTCTCTCTCTCTCTCTCTCTCTCTGCCCCTCCCCTGCTCATGCTCTGTCTCTCAAAAACAAACATTAAAAAAACAAATAATAAAAATTTAAAAATTCAAACTGTGAGAAATCACTTCAAGATAGTGAGGTGCATGTGTATGCACGCATGAAGGCAACAGTTCAAAATCATCTTAATTTTTTTAAATGTTAATTGCAATGCAAATTTTTGCATTCATAAATCGGTTCTCATGAGAGATCATTAATGAAAAGTTCACACAGTTAAGCTTTTACTTAAGGTTAGGATGTTTGTTTTTTTTTTTTTTTTTCCAACGTTTATTTATTTTTGGGACAGAGAGAGACAGAGCATGAACAGGGGAGGGGCAGAGAGAGAGAGGGAGACACAGAATCGGAAACAGGCTCCAGGCTCTGAGCCATCAGCCCAGAGCCCGACGCGGGGCTCGAACTCACGGACCGCGAGATCGTGACCTGGCTGAAGTCGGACGCTTAACTGACTGCGCCACCCAGGCGCCCCAGGATGTTTGTTTCTACCAAGTTTTATGACAAGTCATTTTTAGCAGTACTATTAGATTCATGACCTTCGGTTCATGCACTAGAAAATACGAGTCTTCCAGTTCAGAAGTAGAAGTTCAACTATTCCCAGCATCTCCTCTTGGTCTAAGTTATCATCTCTCTTGGGGCACAGTGGCCGGTGTTAGAGCATGGTCCTTAGCTGTGGCCATAGAATTTCCGATAGCCACTCTAACCATATCATCTGTCAGTAGTCACATTACCCCCTTTTCCACAGGCCTTTCTTGATCTTTGGATCTACTGTATCATTTGGATAAAAGGTCGAAGTTAGGGTCTGCTTTGATTAATACATCCTCGTGAGGTTGTATTACCTCAAATTTTGGTCATGAAATCTGTTTTCCTTGAGTCATTCCTGAAAGTTTCTTGGTGGTACCTATTGGTTCGTCTTTTCTCCTTAGTAGGTCTCCTGAACTTTGTCCCTAAAGTCCTAATTACCGGGACTAGTGAAAACCATAAGACACACTAGCACAAACCATCTTTTTGAAAAATGCAAGCCAAACAGTCGTTGATAAGTAATATCCATCCTTCGTGAAGTTTAGGAAGGTTAAAAACAAAACCAATACCTCTTCTCTTGCTTTAAATGCAGAGATAGTAGTAATGTCAATATTAATCAATTTACCTTTACTTTCTTGGCTTAAGGAGATTTTTGCCCCCCTAAATCAAGTCGATTGTGTAAAGATTGTTTTATTTGCATTTTAGTCTGTATGTATTTTACACTTCAGAAATTTCTTTTTTATATACTTTTGAAATTCTTGACTACCGTATAATGTATCTCTGGGAGTTATTTTTGAAACTAATATGCATATAAATGCAAATGTTCAGCTGAGAACACAGAATTTTATGGCACCTGTTCATGGAGTTTGTCCAAAAATTTCTTTAATGGAATTATTCAGATGGTGCAGCACTTATTTACACTTCAGTAAAAGAAAACAAAAATATAGATTTAGTATATAAATATATCGTTCAGAAACTGTATGGATTTCCCTATAAGATTCCTGCTGTTGTTGTGGAAAAAGATGCAGTATTTATGTAAGTATACTTTTAAATATATTACTTTATCGTGTATTATTGCTGCAATTTGATGGTGAATCCTCGTGTTCAGTTTTGAGGTGAAACCAGTAGACCTTTCCATGATGAGTAGATGAGAATTTGTTCCTAGATTGTTTTATTTATAACCCATCTTGATCTATTTATCTTTGCCTTTGAGAATTACTGCTGGCCTGAGTCTTTTCCGAAGGCCTTGCTATTATATATAGCTAAACTGTTGAGTGCATATGTCAATATACTTACTTACTCTTTGATTGGTTTTGATAAGTAAAGGAGCCAGTATATAATCTAGACATCCTTTTAAAAAGTTCTGTGAATACATTGAGAGAGAATAATAATTAAGCAGCCACCCCCCCCCAAAAAAAAACAGCAACAAAACTGCGTTTTTAAAATCAGGAAGATGGAGAACCTTTTTAGGTAAAAAGTAGTAAACTATAGCTTGAGCATGACAATAAAAAGCCGATTAATTTTTCATAATTGGTCAGATTTGTTCCCTTTAATATGATCATGGATTTAATGAATGACTATATATGTATATATATATTTGCATGCTTGAGATTTGTCATGTGCATTTCTTTCCAGCCCAGCAGGGTGGGATAACGATAAGAAAATAGGAATATTACATGAAAATTTTCAAACATTGAAAGCAGAAGATAATTTTGAAGACATTATAACCAAACCACCTGTCCGAAAGGTAACAGTTTTAGTATAAAGTCTCAATATTTAGCCTTTTAAACCAAAGGGGGGAGTCCGTAATTTTAAGATTATAGATAGAAAGGTAAGGGGGTCCTTTCCTATCAAGAGGGTTTCTAAGTATAATGTGGGTGTTTCTAATGTTCAGTTCAAAATAAAGATCTGTGTTATCAAAACATAAATCAGCTATTCAGTTACAGAATTCTTACTGAGCCTTTGGCATATTAAAAATACTAGTGCAGGGGCGCCTGGGTGGCGCAGTCAGTTAAGCGTCCGACTTCAGCCAGGTCACGATCTCATGGTCCGGGAGTTCGAGCCCCGCGTCAGGCTCTGGGCTGATGGCTCAGAGCCTGGAGCCTGTTTCCGATTCTGTGTCTCCCTCTCTCTCTCTGCCCCTCCCCTGTTCATGCTCTGTCTCTCTCTGTCCCAAAAATAAATAAACGTTGAAAAAAAAAATTAAAAAAAAAAAATACTAGTGCAGATTCCACATTCTAATGGAAATCATGGATTGGTGTGAGTAGTGAGTATATGGATCTTGAAAAGTTTGAATAGGTTGATGCTGTGAGCCTCCAACCTAGAACGCAGCCAGAAGTCGAGCAAACATTGGTAGGATAACTTTATTAGCTTCTATTTGTTGAGGCAGTTATGGGATCTTCTCTGTAGCCATTAGTTACCTGTGCTAGCCCACAACTGTCCAGGAGTTTCTGGCTTAGTCTTAACTGTTACATGTCATTTGTATGACTATTAAATCTGCTTCCAGAAAGTACTTTCTTTCACATATTTTGATTTCATGTGAAGCAATATGTGATGTTCTATACTTAGATATTACAGGTGTTTCTGGAAAGTTGTATAAAAACAAGTGTTTACTTACAGTATTTCTCAGTGACTTACTTGGACATGCTTCAGGAAAAATAATTTTGATTTAATATATAATGAGATTCTTTCTTAAAAGTCCAAGTATTGATATTGAGTATCTGTCTTCTCTTTGTGGGTAATTAGAAATAAGAAAAGTAATGATAAATGAAAAATCAATTGGCATGGTATTTAGTTTGAATGTCTATTAAAAGAAATGCCCACATCAAGGTGGGGGAAAAAAGCAACGGTTTTTCCCATTCTCTCTTTGACCAACAGAATTGTGCTGTAAGTTGTTTTTATTCACCCCACAAATATTTACTGAGCCACTGTTGAGGTACGAGGTGCCAAATGGCATGCGATAGTAAATCCATGCACCTGTCAGTTCTCAAGTGCTGATAAGTCCTGTGGCAGTAAAGCCAAGTAAGGGGAGAGGGAGTGAGAGCAGTGGGGTGGGGAAGCGAGCTGTTGTGGGAAGTTTAGGGAATGTCTCTGATAAGAGGGGAGAATGCTGTGTACAAAGGAAGCAGAAAGTGCACGTGCCTCAAGGCAGGAGTGGGTGAGGAGGGCAGAGAGGCTGGAAAAGAGTGAAGAGGAGGGCCAGAGTGGTAGGAGGTGGGAAGCAGTGTTAGGATCTTGTAGGGTCTTCTCATTTGGCTGGAGTCAGGACTTTGGATTTCATTCTGAGTGGGATGCGATCGGAGGTGGGGGTTGAGCAGAGGAGTGATGTAATCTGCTTAACCTTTTGAAAGGATCACTCTGCTGGGTGGAAAATAGACCATGGTATGCATTGTATAGAAATAGTAGAAGGCAGGAGATACTTGCTGCTGCTTTTTGCGTAATTATTCAGCAGGTAGAAAAGTCATTATGTTTTTGTTTCAGAGAAACCAGGGGCAAGTTGCTTTTCACTCAACTGGGATATTAGTGACCCTCTTAAAACACCAAACTGTTGGTTAGCATATTTTATAAGCATGATTAACATGCCTATGACTCTAAGGTTGTGCTGTCCTGATACAGTAGCTACTAGTCACGTATGGCCTTTAAATACATATTAGGTGAAACTAAATAAAATTAGAATTTCAGTACCTCCGTCACAGCCACATTTGAAGTGCTCAGTAGCTGCAGGTAACTGGTGGCTACATTGGACAGCACAGAGACAGGAACATTCTTACTGTTGCAGGTAGTTACTGGCCAGCTGCACTGTAGGGGCTGGGGCAGGGCAGCTCACTCGTGTAAATGTAGGTAACGTTTATACTGAATTTTTTTTAAATTAGTCTAATCTAGAGAGTATGTGATTAATGATTTTAGCATAACATGTTAGACTTGCTCATTTATGCATTGCTCATTTCAGTTTGTACATGAGAAGGAAATTGTGGCAGAAGATGACCAAGTGTTTCTTATGAAGCTACAGGTAGGTATGAAATTACATCAGAAGCAGATTTAGTATGGTTAATGGGTAAACTGTTCATTATATATGTGTGTGTGTATATATATGTGTGTGTGTGTGTGTGTGTGTGTGTGTGTGTGTATATATATATATTTTTTTTTTTTTTTTAAATACAGCAATACATGCTGAATGCCTAACCTAGAACTCTTTTGTGTTTTTTAGTCCCTTTTAGCAAAGCAACCACCAACTGCAGCTGGAAGGCCTGTGGTCAGTATTACAGATTTGGACAAAATTACTAAAGTGCAGTACATTCTTGGTTTGGCTTTTTTTTTTTTTCTCAATCGTATACATGTCTCATATGGGTGTGCTTTGATATAAACTTGAGTTAAGAATTCTCCTAGAATTTGTGAAATTCTAAAGGATAAACTGCACTCCTTTTTAGAGTATTTAAATCATAAAGAAGTATTTTGCGGTGTTTGTCACGCACCAGTTACTGAGTGTGGAACCATTTCTATGTGTTATTTTATAAATTGTCACCACCGCCCTGTGAGGCAGGTACTGCCAGCCCCATCTTGCAGGTGGGGAAATGGAGGCTTTGGAGGATGTTACAGCTTACCTGAGATTTTACAGCTGGTAGCTTTCAAGTCCAGACTGGAATCCAGATCTGACTCCCAAGCTTATACTCATAACCACACCCCATTATTGAATACATTCTTTTTGTATGGAAGGGGAATTTGTATTCTAAAATGTGGTAGGTCTCTGGTATTTTCTGATCCTGAGGACACAACTACTAAACATTTTTGGCAATGGCTTGCCATGTAAAAGTACAGTAGTGCAGATGGGGGACAGTTAAAAAGTAATTTCATTTTATAATAATAACTTTGGTGAAGTTGGAAGTTTCAGGTTTTTAGAATTACAGCTTTCCTAATTTTTACATAGGATGCCTCACCAAGAGTCCCAGGAGGCTCCCCTCGGACACCAAATCGATCTGTGTCGTCCAATGTTGCCAGCGTGTCGCCCATCCCTGCTGGGTCAAAAAAAATTGATCCAAACATGAAAGGTACATTTCTCTCTTTTCTTGGAGAAAACAGCACAGTGTATTTTACACTAAAAAAAAAATCTACCTAGATTCCTACCTTTTCCGTAACTGTTTTCATTTTTGTGCAGTAGCTTCTAATCTTTGTTGTATAATCTCATAGTCATTCAGACTGCAAACTGTTTATTTTATAGTGTAGCCTTAATATATCCAATCTATGAGGTAAGCTTTATGAAAGTTTTGTGTTACATTTAATCCTTCTCCTGTGATAGGTCATCAAAGAAATCCGTATGTTAATAGGTTATTTGCAATCGACATAAACAAAAAACGATATACATGAAAGTTATTTCAATAGAAATAATTGCCGTAAGTGGGATTAGCAGGTCAGAGTTTGTACATTTTTGTGCCTTTGGTAATGTTTTTCAAATGGCTTATTTACATATCATCAACATTGAGTGTTGCAGTTTTGCCACAACCTAATCAGTCAGCATTCTTTAAATACTAGTAAGAGCTTTTCCCCTAGTGTTTCTTTTCTATTTGTATTTCTCTCCTGTGAATTATTTCTTGTTATCCTGTACTCACTTATCTCTTGGAACTTCTGCTGGTTTTCATACAGGATTAAGTAGCTTTTTGTAACACTTGAGGCAAATATTTCTCAACAGTTACACTTTGGAAGAACCGGTTTCAAAAGGGAGGTATAGTAGCATCTAACATCTGTTTTAAATGTTTTCGGTTGTTTTCTTTTTTAAATAATGTTCTAATTTTTCATCATTATCTTCTACTCTTAAAATTTACTCATATTTTGTTTTTATGGAAATGGATAGGAGATAAGTTATCCAGGCTCAAAAGAACAAACTAGACTTGAATTTGGAACACATTTAAGTATTCATTGCTTTCTGTGTGTGATTACTATAATAAAAATTTATAGAAGAATCTAATGTTTTGAGTGAAAGTGTTTTCGTTTGTGTTTTTTATAGCTGGAGCTACAAGTGAAGGTGTCCTGGCAAATTTCTTCAATAGTTTGCTGAGTAAAAAGACTGGTTCTCCGGGAGGCCCTGGTGTTGGCAGTGGTAGCCCTGGAGGTGGGGCTGGAGGTGGAAGCAGTGGTTTACCACCATCCGCCAAAAAATCAGGTATACTTATGTAGACCTTTTATTTTTCTTTAATAGCTTTATTGAGATATAACTATATACCATGAGATTAACTCCTTTGATGTGCAAACCATCATCATAATCTAATTTTAAAACATTTTAATCTCCCGAAAAAGAAACCTCCTGCCTTTTTGCAGTAACTTCTTTTTTCTCTCAACATCCCCAGTCCTAGGCAACCACTGATCTGCTTTCTGTATTTGTGGGTTTGCCTGTCTGGAGATTTCATATAAATGGAGTCATACAGTACGTGCCTTGTTTAATGTTTTCAATAACGTGTTCCAAGTCCATCCATATTGTAGCAGGTATCATTATTGCGTTTCTTTTTATCACTGAATAAAATTCCATTGTATGGATATGCCACATTTTATGTGTCCACTCGTCAGTTGATGGACATTAGATTGTTTCCATTTTTGGCCATTATAAATTTTTTTTTTTAATGTTTATTTATTTTTGAGACAGAGAGAGACAGAACATGAACGGGGGAGGGTCAGAGAGAGAGGGAGATACAGAATCTGAAGCAGCCTCCGGGCTCCAAGCTGTCAGCACCGAGCCTGATGCGGGGCTCGCACTCACGGTCCGCGAGATCATGACATGAGCTGAAGTCGGACGCTTAACTGACTGAGCCATCCAGGCGCCCCAATTTTTGGCCATTATAAATAGTACTACTGTGAACGTGGGTTTTTGGCACATGTTTGACAAATGACATATGTTTTCATCTCTCTTGGGAATATATCCAGAAGTAGAATTATTGGGTCATATGGTAATTCTACATTTAAGTTTTTGAAGAACTGCCAAAGTGTTTTTGCAAAACGCTGCACCATTTTATATTTCCAGCAGTGGGAAATGAGGGTCCTAATTTCTCCACATGCTCTACAACATTTGTTATTGTCCATCTTTTTGATTAGAGCCATCCTAGTGGCTGTGAAGTCCTATCTCATTGTAGTTTTGATTTGCGTATCCTTAATGGAGAATGATGTTGAGAATCTTTTCATGTGTTTATTGACCATTTGTAGTTCTTCTTTGGAGAAATGTTTATGCAAACCCTTTGCCCATTTTTAACTTGGGTTATTTGTCTTTTTATATTTGAGTTTTAAGTGCTGTTTTTATATTGTGTTTACTAGACCCTTACCAGGTATGGGGTTTGCAAAATTTTTCTCCCATCGTGTTGGTTGTTCTTTCACTTCTCAATGGTGTGGTGTCCTCTGAAGCGCAGAAGTTTTTAATTTTGATGAAGTCCAGTTTATTTTTCTTTTGTTGCTTGTGTAACTGCTCTTTAAACACTTTTTAGGGGCACCTGGGTGGCTTAGTCGGTTAAGCAACCAACTCTTGATTTCAGCTCAGGTCATGATCTGGTGGTTTGTGAGATGGAGCCCCCACATCCAGCTCCTGGCTTATGGCACAGGGCCTGCTTGGGATTCTCTCTGTCCCTTGCTCTCTGCCTCTCCCCTGCATGTGTGCTCTTTCTCTCTCTCTCTCTCAAAAGAAACATTTTTTAAAAAAAACAGGGGCGCCTGGGTGGCGCAGTCGGTTAAGCGTCCGACTTCAGCCAGGTCACGATCTCGCGGTCCG